TCGCATCATCCAGGTGGATGCTGCACACTGGTGGTGGATGAGGAGATACCCCCTGACAATGTAAAGCAATTTGAGTGCCTAGAAAAGTGCTATATAAATGTAAGGAATAATTATTATAATTATTATTATTATTAGCGGAAGCTAACAATTATGGTTTATAAAGTTTTAAATATGGATATTTATCTTACACTTGTTTAGGCTTGTTTAGCCTGTATATGCTCTCACTAAGTCAAATAATGAGAAAGAACCAAATTGCCTATCACAGCTATGCTGATGATACCCAGATTTACCTAGCCACTCGGTTATAAATCACTCAATGGCCTAGGACCTAAATACATTGCAGATATGCTCACTGAATATAAACCTAACAGACCACTCATTAGGATCATTACTCATCGATTCATTAGGATCGAATTAGAAATACCAAGGGTTCACACAAAAAAAGGGGAATCTGCTTTTAGCTATTTTGCCGCCCGCAGTTGGAATCAGCTTCCAGAAGAGATCAGATGTGCTAAAACATTAGACACGTTCAAATCTAGACTCAAAACTCATCTGTTTAGCTGTGCATTTATTGAATGAGCACTGTGCTATGTCCGAACTGATTGCACTGTATTTTATGTATGTATAATCATTTTCTATTTTTAACTGTCTTAAATTAATTTTAAATCAATTTTTAAATCATCTTCAAAGATTTTAAATTTCCTTGTTTTATTTTTGTGATTTTACTTTCTTTTATGTAAAGCACTTTGAATTACCATTGTGTAGGAAATGTGCTATATAAATAAACTTGCCTTGCCTTGCCTTACACAAATGCATCGCTTCACTTTAGAAGGCTTTATTAACCCCCCGGAGCCATGTGGATTACTTTTTATGATGGATGGATTCACTTTTTTGAACTTCTAAATCTCGACCATCATTCAGTGCCATTAAAAAGCTTCAAAGATCTAGGATGGCTTGAAGGTGAGTAAATCATGCGGTAATTTTCATTTTTGGGTGAACTATCCCTTTAAGCAACTAAGGGCAAAAAAAGTTGTGTAGTGTATTCCAGCCTTAAATTGCCTACCACTGGTGTCTCCTCAAAAATAAGTGCATGTGGCAAAACATTTCAAAGTCTACTCAAGTGTTACCTATCCATGCTTTAGTTTCAAACAGTTGTACGGCATAGTACCTCAGGGTCCATCTCCTGTAGTTCATACTCCAGCTTGTCCAGCTCTTCGGCGCTGAGGCCCCTGAGGATGGCATCCTCGTCAATGTCTCGGGGATCGCTCTTAGACATGCTTGCTGCTCGGTGGTACTCTCAATTCACACAGCTCGCCCAGAGACAGCGGACCCTGAGAGAGAGATAAGGTTTAAGCCAGTAACTTGTACAAAAAATCTTGTTTTACTATATTTGGCTTGCAAATAAGGCAAAATAATGGCTGCTTGCTTTATTCGGTCGCTCAATGCTTTCTGTAGAAGTTGAGAATGAATGGGAAAACCGTTCAAGCTTTCCAGTCCAAGTCACTTTCAGCCTGGCCAAAAGAGTCAGCCAATGAAGGGCACGATAGAAAACTGCTTGCATTGTTAAATGCCACAAAGCCCAGTTGAATTAAAAGGACAAGGCTAGCATTTGTGTACAGGAAGAGCTTTTGGGGGTCTGAAGGTACAAAGTACTTGGCAACAGAGATAGGACTTTCTGACAACACGATGTAATTACAGTAGACTGGCCGATTATATGGGACCATGAGGAAAGTACTCACTGCTTCTTTCATTCCAAGGCAGAGAGACAGAGAGAATCTTGTCTATTTTTAGTCTCTGATCAGTAACGCTTGGGTTTTGGGTTACCGTAAGGAGGAGAAGGTTAGAACTGTGAGGAGTTATCACTGGCTCACACTCATGTGAAGGTGGCCCATGCTGCCGCCCGTCCGCCTTGTGAAACAGAGTGATAGAGTCATGGGCTAGTCACCAGTTTCAGACCACCACACCCAAACTGGATCTACAACACAAACTACAGACAATACAGCCTAACATGTTGTGTAACTGACCTGAACTCATCCATCTGTAACTACATGTTGGAACATATTAAAAAATATTATCTTGTGTAAACTGATCTTAGATATTTTTACAGAGAATAAAAAAGACTACTGATACTGAAAGATTTTTGTATGTTTGCACATATATAATGTTAAAGAGTTTGAATTGCATCTACCACATCTGCTTGTAATCAAACTGAGATGGCTTTGCATAACACAAAGCTGAAGCTCTCCAAAAATGTCTGATTGTAGTCTTTCAGATGCTTTTGATGTGTAAATATTTCTAATCAAATTACTTCTCAATTTTTAGTCAAACTGTATGTCTGTAAGTTGGGCGATCAATGTTTACAATCATGTGGTAACCCCATTTGGAGACTAGTGAAGTAATGATCCATAAATATATGCTAATGAACATTACTGCTACATATCACACAATGAATCACAAGGGTCTGTTATGCTCTGCACTCTTCATACACTCCTGATGCTTGCTAAATAAAACATTAAAATATATCAAATAAAATAAAATTTTATTAAATAATGCTGATTATTAGAGTTAGCGATGGATGGTTTTACATTATGTGTTTGTTTTGGGTGTGTATTTGTGGTTGAGGTGTGAGACCAGAGTAGTGTGGCACTAATTTGTAAAGCCAGTGACACAAACACAGGATCACAGAGCTAAGAACAGAAAATAAAAACTAAAGATTGCACACATCAATCAACCCACCACAAGTTTACTGATTCCAGAAGCAGCGTTACCATTGCTAAACTCAGTCCTGACCTCATTTCAAGAATAATTATGAATCATTTGCAGAAAATTGTGTTGTTTATTCAGATTTAGTTACTTCAACTGCCTTTCGCTGGACTAACGGTAAAGCTAGAAATGCAAAAAAAAAAGAGGACTGAATGAAGTGGAGACAGGCTAAATTGCTTTGAATGAAAAATGTTTGCTTGATATGGCTAAAAGAAAACTATTGTTATATATCTAACTAAACATAAGTTCAACTGTGTAATCTCAGTTCTGAACAAATTCAAATTACACTATTTTATGTGAACTCCTAAATGACCTTACTTTCAGAAACTGGCAATGCATCTGACACCATTCTTTCAGGAACCTGTCAGTCTACAAGATTGACGGCTCAGGGATTATAAATAGCCATTATCTACTTTGTCTCTTCAATCTTACAATAAACATACAGGCCAAAAGCAGGCCTTCTGCCGACCAGGTGTCATCTTTTTGTGTTGTGCACATATCCCAGGAAAGAGCGGCTGTCTGCCTGTTCCTAACACCTGTTCTCACAGCTCCCAAAGGACACCAACTCAAGCCTTAAAAGTATTAGCTGAGTTTCACCTGTTCAGGCTCACTAGTTGTGAAAAGAGTTTTTTAAATTAGTCCGTCAACATGGAATCCTTGTTATTTTGCTGTTGCAAGGCAGCAGCCAACATTTGACCTTTCCAAATTGAGAAAATACTTCTTTAACTCAATTTATTTTTAGTCAGTACAGTAATTTAAAAAATCCAACACAACATACAAATTATAATTAGATTTTGATCTTTTAAATAAGAATTTCAATATCCTGTGATTGGCGTTCAATTGAATTGATTTGTGTATACTGAACAGATCATTTTAATCATTTTATATTTATTTGATCATTTTAATTAGAATCATTTTAAAAATGTCATAATACGGTGTTCTGACTTTAAATATTATAATGATTAAACTGCAAATCAAACAAACTAAATCTAATACGCCATGTGTATTGAATTGTTTAAGTAATTAAACTTGTGGAAAAAAAGAAAAACAATACTGACAGAACTAGGCAGAAATTCCACACTTTTAAAAATAAAGGTTCCAAAGAAGAACCTTCATCAGTAAACCGTATTTAAAAGAAGAACCATATTTTCTTAGTGTGAAGAACATCCAAAGAACCTTACTCCACTTTAAAGAACCTTTTGTCAAATGGAAAGGTTCCATGGACGTTAAAGGTTCCTCATGGAACCAAAGATGCCAATAAAGAACCTTTATTTTTAAGAGTGTAATGGAGTCTATGATTCCATGAAGAAACTTTAACATCCATGGAAACTGTCCATAAAGGTTTTTTACAGTGGAAAAAGATTCTTCAGATTCTTAAAACCTTCTTTACACTAAGCAAAAGAAGTGTTCATTAAAAGGTAAACCCAACATGGTTCTTCTATGGCATGTCTGCGAGAAAATACAACATTTGGAACCTTTATTTTTAGCCATCTGCTTTTTTCTTGTAAAACATGGCAATTTCAAACTGCAAACTGACTAAACATCTCCAAAAGCAACCTGACTCTGCTGACTGCTTTCCTTCTAGAGGCCATAAAGTTATTATCGTCCATATGACAAAAACTTTGGTTGGGTCTCAGAAACCCAATTCCCCCTCTGGAACTTCAGAAGGATGTAGAACAAATATTGAAATATTGGGCAACAACACATCAGATGCCATATCATCCACCATGAAACACCAAAAGTGACAACTCTCCTGATGTGCAGCAAGAGCCTAAAAACAACCTTCTTATTCAGATCCATAGTTCAGTTATGGAGTTTAATCATTGGGAGCATTTTCCAGCTGACACACACAGCTCATAAGACTTCACACTATTTGTAGGTTGACTTCACCAAGTCTAACCACCCAAGTGTAAAATTCCAAATCAACCCTCAGATTAATTTTAGCTTCACAAGTCAGCTACTTCCAGCTGCGTAAATCCTCTCTGCTTGCAAAGCTGCAGTGTGCAGCACTATTGCAAGCAAGGCTGGCTGGGAAAATAAGGGCTGTTTTGAAAACAAAAATATGTCTACGAACATTATGCCACCAAAAAAAAAAAAAAAGGATGACAATCGGCAGGTATTTAAAAAAAAAACTGCCACAAGATTGTTGTTTTGACATGCATTCACATCAACAGGTGCATCTGCAGACAGACTCTGCAAAACAATGTTCTCCATAAAGCCTTACTCTAAACCAAAAAAATGTATCCAACTAATCCAACAATATCTTGAGTCTCCAACGATCTACTAACTTGACCTTTAACCTTTTACTATACACTTTACACTACAAACCACCCACTGGGGCCTCTATCCATAAACTACACTGACTGACAAAATCACCAAAACAATAATTAATGCAATTAGCAGCTGAATGCAACCATTTTAAATTTCAAATAAATGAAATAGTCAATAAAAAAGCAAATCCTGCTTACTAAACATAACTATATAGTGTCCAAAAACGTATACTAATGTGGTCCTGGTGCTAAAAGAGAGACAGACATAGATTGCAGAAAGAAAGTGAATGTGTTACCTACCCTCACTAGGACTCAGAGCTGTTGGGATCTTCTGTACAGCAACTCTATGTTTGAAAACAGAGAATAGACCCTCGCTCGCCCCCCTCCCCGGTAGTCGTTTCCCCCTTAAGCCCTCCCTTCTTCGCTTGCTATCTGGTTTGAGCTGAGACAGGGATACGAGCTACTCTTCATGAGGTCAGCATTTCATTATTTTGGCTTTGAGAGAGATTAATGACTATGAAAGAGAGGGACAGAGAGAGTAGGCCGACACTGGCTGCAGAGAAGGTCCATGTAGTCATCTGTTTGAGTAACTCAGGTTTACTCATTAAACACGTAACATTTTAGTAGAGAGGAGTGACCTCTAGGGTACAGAGGCGGTATTGCAAGTCAGAGAGACCCCTGAATTTAATGTCGAAGTTTATACATTGGCTGCATTGAGTACTAAGTGGGTTCTTCTTTCCAACACAAACAAATTTTATAGATGGCCCACTTTTTTTTATTTTTAATTATTATAAAAAATAATGACATCTAAAACGCTACATGACAGCAATCTTTAATGCTGTTTTAAATAATACGGACACATTATAAATACATATCACTACATAGTCCATTAAATGAAACAGTGCATTTAAAAAAACAATAAATAAAGTTACATTAAGCATATATGCAAAAATCACATTCAACTATGCAGCTTATTGCACTTACAAATACACTGGACAGAGATTTGGCAGCAAACATTTTTATGCAGTTGTACTGTATGTCACCAAAGAACATTTATTATTTTTAGATAGATAGAAAGATAGATGTGTATTGTTCTACATGCCTTGTTTAATAATGATCTTCTGGCGCAGATTCTTTGCAGTGGTGTCGGCTGGAGTCGCTGTGCCAGTGGAGGGCAGGCCATGGGCCGCCACATACTTTTTATAGGCTTCCCGGATGATCCTAAAGGCTTGTACATTAGCGTAGGGAATGTCTGTGATGGGGTCTCGGTAGAGCGCTGGCTTATGGGTAACAGGGCAGATCTCCTGGACAGGAATTCGAGGAGGTGGGGACTGGGGAAAGAAACGCTGGAAGGATTCATCATCACTGAATGTGATGTAGCTGCGGGAGCATTTGGCAGGCCCTGATGACATGGAAGGGTTTACAGCAGCTGTGTTTGCGGAGACGACACTAGGCGGCGCAGTAAGGGTTGATTCTGACTGGGAAAGAGCTTGTGGAGGGTGAGGGCCTGGATTCTGCTGGGCGTCTTGGTCCAAACTGTTAATGAGATGTGAAGATAAAATATATATAAAGATAAAAATATAGAGGTGTAATCATGTTTTTCTCCTTAAAGTTTTACACAATTTTGAAATGATGTGCATAGACAAATTATGTGTAATATATATATTACATACCTGTATATATGAAATAGTTTTTTCCACAACCATAACAAAGATGAAAATCTTTAACTCTTCAAACTTTAACATTTACAATTAACATTTAGCTTAATTAATAAATCTGAGTTTAATTGATTTATATTAATATTTATTAATTCATTAAGAATTATCCAAATTTTTCATTTGTATAAATTGATTTTTTTTTTAAATATTGTTTCTTTTGAAATTTTGTTTTTAATTTTTTATTCTATTTATATAATACTTAAAGCATGCTTAACATGTTTATTTAAATTTAAAAAAAGAGTTGTTTAAAAAAAAAATGTAAATGATGTCTGTACGCATGAGATTACTCAAAACAAAATTTCTCAGTTCACCTCTAAATAGAAAAAAATCACATTTGTTTTTGTTTTTTTAGTTAAAATTAATGAATGGAGGAGTATTTGTAAACATGAGAACACTTCAGAGACTTTATCTACATACTGTATTTTTAAGTGCCAAGCAATATAAAGGTTAGATAGATAAAAGCACCCACTCAAAGACAATAGAAGTCTAAAGTCTAAAAAGCAAGAGAAGTAAAAAGTAAACAGTCAGTAAGAGATGAGGAACCAGGTGAAGTACCCCTCTACATCCACGTTTTCCTCTTTAAGAGTGACGTCAGACACCAGTGGCATGAGCACAGAGTGATATCGGATAACAGATCCCACACACTGACGCTTCATATGAACCTGACGTTTCTTATCTGCCTCCAAACGCTCATAGTTTTCTGTCAAAAAAATCACAAACAGCTATTAGCATTCAAGTTTTATAGACAGAACAATTTGCAGTTATCAGTTATCAATTCCTCACCCAGTGATCGAAGGTTAATCTGTGCTGTGACCTTGGCCTCTGCTAAAAGTTCAGCCTGGGTCAAAGGTCGCTCATGTCTTGTACCCTTTCTTCGACGCGGAGCAACCTGCCTCTCCTGCAGTCTCAGGTACGTCAGCCGTGTGTGTTCTGTTGTTGACTGACGCACCGATGTCCTGTCTAAGACAAAAACAATTTCAAGGTTTACTAACATTTACTATAACTCTCTCCACGGTTTATGATGTGGTCGCTACGTGCTTAAATTGTTGCCATTCAAGGAAGAGATGTAAACTTGACTTATTGACAGCTTCCCCAACAAACACATTTTATTGCACTGGAAATCATCTAATTCACGTGAAGAAGAAACAATGACTTCAGAACCTGATGTGGTTTATGCAGAAAGAAAGTGGTTTATGAGTATATTGTAAATGTGTAATCAGAGGTTCATAGAAATTGTTATTAGTTTTGTAAATCTCTGTTATCATTAACATCTACTCACTTCCTGTTGGATAATGTTGTTGATACATACTGTTTGCTTTTTTCATAGAAACTATTTTTATGGCAGTCAATTCCTTGGAAAGAGGAAGGGTACAAAAAAAAGAAAAAAGAAAGAAAATAATACTGTTTGTGTGTCACTGCATAAAAATAATAAGGAAAAATAGTCCGATTTTAAGCAACTAAAAATCACATAAAACTATAAAAATTGATAAATGAGAATAACTGATATATTTCCACACATTCATAAAATTATTTGAAAATATGAAAATATACAGAATAATATATTGCGTTAATACAATATTACTATATAGCACTCAATCCATCAAGTTAAACGTCAAATCATCTTCCACCCACCATGTTGCCATGATTTTAACAAGAAATCCAACTGTCCAAAAATCTAAAAAAATATATATATATATTTCTTATCAGTAAAAACTTTATTTCTGATATAGCTACCATTTCAAATATTTTCATTTATGACATGTGTAACTATGCAAACAATAAAGTGAGACAAAACCTCATGAATAAATTCAGCTTTATCTGAACCTATGTGTTAACTCATGAAAGAGAAATGAATTAATTGAGTGTTTCAATTAAGATATTACATATAAAAAATATACTGCACTACATTTTTATTACATGTATCAATATATAGCAATACATGGTCCATGCATATATTGTGGTATAAGCACTAGTTTCCTAATATGTCACATGTGCATGTGTAAATAAAGTGCAAAAGTCTCACTCTTGCTGATGTCCTCCTGTAGTTCAGGGGGGTTGTATTTGTTGATCTTTGTCTTGTCTGTCCTCCTGGGCAGTTCAGCCAGTTTCCTTTGTTTTGGTTTTTGCCGCACCACTTTAACTGGCTCCTACACAAACACAAGGTTCTGGGATTACAAGTGGAGTAAATATGAAAATTCTGTCATTATTTACTTTCTGTACAGAATGTACTAGTCATTATTTTATATACAATTCCCAGGAATAAGGACTGAAACTTCAAAAAGGACGCAAAAGCACCATAAATGAATCATAAAACTAGCCCATACGACTCATGCACTATATTACCAGTCATCTGAAGCTATTTATGGTAGCTTTTTATTATGGTTTTATGGTTCTTTTTCTTAGCAACTCTCCTGTACCTTGTAGGCTTTGGTCACCACTCTGCTCTTTCGACGCGGCCCATCCTCCTCCTGCTCGCTGTCGGGTTCATCCCCTTCATCAATGTCAAAGTCACTGTCCACCTCATCTTCCGTTTCAGACAAGTCACCCTTATATTCTTCATCACCTGATTCCTGCAGAAATCACGTTTTCAGGACTCAAAGACACAGAGACACTAGACAGGTGCATATTATTCGCATTATGCATGGATTACATTCAATTAGATTAAATAGTGTATACAATATGTGACCCTGCACCACAAAACCAGTCAAAAGTTGCACTGGTATATTTGTAGCAATAGCCAAAAATACACTATATAGGGCCAAATTTATCGATTTTTCTTTTATGCCAAAAATCATTAGGATATTAAGTAAAGACCAAGTTCCATGAAGATATTTTGTAAATTTCCTACCGTAAATATATCAAAACTTAATTTTTGATTAGTAATATGCATTGCTAAGAACTTCATTTTGGACAGCTTTAAAGGTGTTTTTGTCTTCTTCTTTTTTTTTGCACCCTCAGATTCCAGATTTTTTAAATAGTTGTATCGGCCAAATATTGCAGTAGCCCCTCAATGCAGAACACAAAATCCAGGGGGCGTGGTTGGATCCACATCTAGGGGGTGGAGATTGGTAGGTTTATGTATATGTAAGATGGGAGGAGTTGGATCTGGATCCAACCACGGCCCCTGGATCTTGTGTTCTGCAGTGAGGACCATCTCAAATATTGTCCTATCCTAACAAACCATATATCAATGGAAAGCTTATTTATTCGTATAAATCTCAATTTCAAACAATTGACCCTCATGACCAGTTTTGTGGTCCAGGGTCATATATATAATATCTGATTTATTAGAATAATGCATGTATTAAATGAACTGTTAATATAATAAACATCTGATCACCCTTTTGTATAAATCTATTAATGCTTTGTATAAATTTGTTGAAATACATGTCTGCCCTATTATTGTGTTCTTTATAGAGATATATATACTTAACCTTACACAAAAATAAATGTACATACATTTTCCTTATGTACTAATGTATATAATAATTATGTATTGAATATATTAAATTAAATTAATTATTAATTAACAAAAATATACAGAACAATATATTATGTTAATATATTACAACATATTAAATACATAAGGATTTGCAGCTTTACGTGTATAGAAAATGTGGCTATATTTATATATTTATATTGTAATGTACATTCAGTTAGAATATATAATTTATACAATATATACCATATCTAATTTATTAGAATAACAGATTTTTGAAGCTGCTTTAAAACATGAATTGTGAAAATCTCTATACAATACATTGAGTTTAGCTAAATGGAAAGTGTAGCACATAACCAAACATACAGAATAACTAAATG